GCAAAACACAGATTAATAGAAATGGGCTAAGTTATAAGAGCTAGCTAGCAAGAAGCCTGCCATCGGCCATACAATTGCAAATAATATTAAGCCTCTGAATTATTATTTTATAAGCAGCTGAGGGTCCGCAGAGCCGGGTGGGACCGGAGGAACTTGGGACTGGAGAAAGTTGGAACTGGAGAAACCTTCTAGCTACAATGGACTGCTTTGCTCCAAAATCCTAAAAGTTTCCTCTTTGCTTACCAGACTAATCAGAACTACTGACTTAGTAAAAACTAAGCAGTGTGTAGGGTACCTTCTTGGATAGAAAGTTGGTCAGTATTTTTATAGACGAGGTTATGATACAGAGCTAGAAATGATGTATTTCTAAGGTAGAGAAATGAAGATTTATTATTTTTCCTGCCAGCTTAAAGAAATTGGTTTCGGTTGCCTGTAGTGGAGAAAGAGAATGAGTTACTTAATTCTAGCTGCCAGGAAATCTATTACTTAGTGTCTTAGTTAAGGTTTTCTATTGCTGTGAAGAGATACCATGACCATGTTAACTCTTATAACGAAAACATTTAATTGGGGTGGCTTGCTTACGGTTTCTGAGGTTCAGTCCACTATCATCAGGGTGGGGAGCATGGTGGCTTGCTGGCAGATGTGGTGCTGGAACTGAGAGTGCTGCATCTTGTAGTCAACAGGAAGTAAACTGAGGGTCACACTGAGGGAAGCTTGAGCAAAAGAGACCTCAAAGCCTGTCCTCACAGTGACACACTTCCTCCAACAAGGCCACACCTACTGATCTTGCAGCTCCCTTTGGGGGCCGTTTTCTTCCACACCACCGCACTCGGACACTAACACTAACACCATACCTCACTGCAGCTGCACAAATTGGCGTCACTTGTGGTTGTGCCCATACCAGCTCGTGCTGTTTCCTCAGATCTGCTTGTATCCCGTGCCAGTTCAGATATGCCAGTTGGATGCTGATGTGTCAGGAACCACTACTTTATTTTCCAGGTTGTCTGTAGGCACTGATTTTGACATTCCCACACCCTCAAACATAGTGTCATTTTTTCATTTATATTTTAGTAGGTACAAGTTCTAGTAACTCCCACCTGACTTTTCCCACTTGGCTGTCATCCATAAAACCATCCCAAGTCCAGGATGGACATTACCCTGCTGTTCCCTTTGTCTTCTCCAGCTCCGTATTCCAAAGGAAGGAGGTAACTATGAGGTGGGTTCAGGTACCGCAGATCCTAGAAACCTTAGCCAAATCTGGGCTCCCTTCACCTCTGTAAGCTCCTGCTCTGTTGACCAACAAACTGGTGTCCACTTCTTCTAGATAATGAAATGTCCCAAAGTGGCTCCATCTTCCTTGTTTCAGTTAACTCCATCTGATGCTTCACCAGGCTGCTCCCCAGCCCCCAAGCACATCTCAGTGAGCAGCACATTCTCATGCAGCCACATCAGAAACTTAGGGGCGTTCACTGGTTTACACCATAGAACAGAACATGAAAGCCTAGGTTAGCTTCTGTGTGGAGAGACATGCACTGGGAGAGGAAGAGAGAAAGCCAGGTTACTTTGAATTGAAATAGAAAGTATTACTGATGTAGCCATTTATTTGTTTATTTTTTAAGTGCATATTTGTTGTGTGTTACTATAAAAGCTGGTATTAAGTTATTCACAGTGATCTTAAACTTATTTTTCTTACTTACAAAACTAATCATGAATATCAAGTCAGTATGGACAAATAACTAATTTGTAAGAAGTACTTAATTTTTCTTTGTTTATATGTATGTATAAAATTTACTCAGTAATTTTACTTGATGTAGCTATTTTTTTATTTTGAATTTAACTTCTGAAAAAGCCAGTTATTACCACTGTTCTAATATTTTTCTTTATTGCTCCTTGTGGGTTTTTAAACCTCTGATTGAACAGTTTTACTTGTGTATTAAGTTTTCGGCTGTGGTGCAGTGATTAGAATTTTTGGTTAGATCAGTTCAGTCAGTAAGATCCTTGTTCCTGGGAACCTCCCTACCCCTCCATCCCCTCCCCTCCTCTCCCCATCCCTCCCCTCCCCTCTTCTCCTCCACCTTCCCTTCCCCTTCATCTTCCTTTCTTATAAGTGTTTTGTCATGTTAAGGATAGTTTTTCACTTTATAATAGATATTGGTAGGAAAATACAGAATAATTTATACTTCAAGGAAACTTTATTGTATGAACATTTTTTAGGCAAGAAAATTGAATTTTATGTAATATATAAATGTGTGCATAAGTCAGTAAGGAGAGGGCATATTGACCTGTAAATGTTCATATTCTGATGATTTATTCTTCTGAATTTCTGAGAGTAAGTTCTCTTACTAAAAACTAGCAGATTTTCTGGCTGGTTTTGAATGACTTATTTACAGCTTACATTGTGCAGTGGCAAAATCATGCAATTTTTAATCTTGTTTAAGAGAGCAGTTTTAAAAAGTATATATTCAGTAAGATTGTCATGGCTGCCGCCGGAGGCCATGTTGGTGTCTGTGGTTCATGTTGCTGCCAGCAGCTGCATTGATGTCCATGATCCATGCTGCTGCCACCTGTTCCGGTCAGGGAGACATCTTTTGGAGTGGCATACATGACTGCAAACTCCTAACTGAGAGTGAGAGATATTGAAGGCTTCGGTGACAACCTCTTCCCCACTCTCTGAGAAAAAGAGAAGTCCCTATGTGAGGCTAGTGAAGAGCCCTTAAACACTGTGGTAAAGATGCTGAAGGGCAGCTCTCCACAGTTGATGGCTTCTGGCAGGCGGTGGGGAAGGACTCAGTTCTCTTCAGTGGGCTGGCCACTAGGAGTTAGACCATGCTCCAAGGAGCATATGGGCAACCCACATTGGACTTGGTGTATTGTTCTTTTTCTTTTTTTGGGGGTGGTGGTGGTGTGCAAGGGTGGGAGGGGAGACCTGGGAGGAATAGGAATTGAGTGTGATTGGAGTGCATTGTACAAAATTCCCAAATAATTAGCAAAAGTATTATGTTGGGGAGAATTGTAATGATTCATCTTTCCAACTCAAAATGGCTCCTAGCAGAGTCATTTCCTCTGCCATTGGGCTCAGAGCTTGTGTGTTTTTTCTGTTTAGAATAAGAATTGCTTTCATATTGCTTTTGGATTTTAGTTGAATATTTTAGTTTTATTTAAGAAAATCTAACTTGTATCTATACTTAGGATATTATTTAAATATACCTTGATAAATGTCTTGATTTTATCAATATTTTCTCTAAATTAAGCCATAAATATCAGCAATATTCTGAGATATATACAGTTGATTTATTATTGATGGAGAACTTTCTCCTCATCTTCTTTTTACTCTTGTCTTTTGTCCTGTCCCCTGAGTTCCAGCCTTTGAATACTTGAAAAATGCATGAATGATGTCATATTATTGTGTATTCACCACCTCTTCCTTATTACACTGTACATATTGTATGGGCAGACGCTACACTGACCTTACTCCTGCATGTCTAATGCCCAAAATTAATTCATAGTGGTAATTCAGTTAATTAGTTGTGTGAACGAATGAGCCATAAAACACGTCTTTCAAATGCTTATTTTATTTATTTTTTGTTTTTAGAGACAAGGCTTCATTCACTGTTTAGTCCTGACTAGTCTAGAACTCACTTTGTAGACTGGGCTGGCCTCCAACTCACAGAAATCTGTCTACCTGTCTCCTGAGTGCTGGGATTAAAGGCATGTGCTACCATGCCCAGCTCACAAATGCTTCTTTAAAAATTTTTCTTTACTGCAAATGTTTTTTATATAGTAAAGTATTTGGATTATAGAATATAATGGAGAGAAATTATAAGAGGACATGAAAAATACTTTTTGCATAAATGTTTTCTTTTTTCTTTAAGATTTATTTATTTATTATGTATACAGCATGTATGACTGCAGGCCAGAAGAGGGCACCAGATCTCATTACAGATGGTTGTGAGCCACCATGTGGTTGCTGGGAATTGAACTCAGGACCTCTGGAAGAGCAGTCAGTGCTCTTAATCTCTGAGCCATCTCTCTAGCTCCACATAAATATTTTCAAACTAAATTTGATATTTGTTTTTTAAAATTTAAAGAAAATAAAAATCAGCTTAATGCAGTATTTGAAACTCAACTTTTCATTCTTTTGGCATAATGTTTGGAATTATACTTGACCATGTAACCTTGATTGGCCCCATTAATTTGACTTATGTCATAACTACATTAAAGTAGTTTGAGGGTATATTATGGAAATATTCATATTTTTATAATGAATATCAGCCATCAGGATTTTATTCAAAATATGATGTGGGCTATGTGGCTAGTAGCATTTTTATTGTTTATTTCAAATTTCAATTTGAAAATTGTAGGTACTAAAGAGTATTTCTAAGCATAATAGAAAATGATATATTCTTGGTTCAGAAGTTATTGTTTAAGAAAATAGCTTAGCCGGGCATTGGTGGCGCACGCCTTTAATTCCAGCACTTGGGAGGCAGAGCCAGGCGGATCTCTGTGAGTTCGAGGCCAGCCTGGGCTACCAAGTGAGCTCCAGGAAAGGCGCACAGCTACATAGAGAAACCTTGTCTCGAAAAACCAAAAAAAAAAAAAAAAAAAAAGAAAATATCTTATTATAAAATGTCTGACTGATCAGAAACACAGAAAGTAAGCATATGTAATTCCTCTAAACAATACTAGGATAGATGATTTAATTGTTGGGTAGTAGGTACATATAAACGCTGATGTTGCTTAGGAGATATGGGAGAAGATAAGTGTCTTGATAAGATAGAAATAAATTTGAACTTGATATGTTGTGAGCTTTAATTTGGCCATTTATTTAGAAAGAGTATCAGTACTTGGCTGTATAGCCATGCACGTGGAGAATAAATTTCTGTTTAATGTTTCATGTCTTTTCGGCTTTCTTACTAATTGTAACATCTCTGTTACTGTTTGCTTAGCTTTTGAGCCTATGTGACTTTAAGGGTGTGTTTTCACCCCATATTTTTCTCCAGGCATCCACAAGGACAAAGATAAGCCTCCCAGCTTCTCTGTTGTCCTTGAGACTTTGAGGCGGACCTTGACAGATTACCAGAACAAGCTGGAAGATGCTTCTAATGAGGTAACACGTGGACTGTTTGGCTCCACACACGGCCTTCGGGCAGTACCAGTATGCAGCCTTTGCTTGTTACAAAGGTCAGAAAGATTGGGGATGTTGAATTGACAGCTTCACAGATACAGAAATAATAAACCACTTGTCACTGTTCTTTCTTCAAGTGTGGCCTAAAGTAGTATCTCACTCCCATTTTGTAATTCCTCAGACACACAGTGAAAGGGCCCTGTCACTTCTTGGCCTGTGTAACATGTCTGTGCAAATAATTTAAGTGAAATGTGCTCTATTTAAATGTCAATGTGTTCATGATCTGTGTGTAGCTAGTAGAAATTTAGGTTTCATCAAGAGTTTAAGAGTTTGTAAACCATGGAAATCTTAATAAAGAAGGGAAATTAATCTCTGTGCTCTAAAGGGAGTTAAGCGTTGTTAGAAGTTCTTAAAAACAAGTGTCTGTTTGATGTAGACTGGAATCTTGTAATTTGCAGATTAAAAAGGCCCATGCTTCTGTTTGTCATCTCATTTGTATTGTTTAATGTGTGAGTTAATCATTTTCTTGGGTATTAAAATATTTTATGAATTCATGCTTTAAAAATTGAAGAGTTTGTCTAGTCATATCTTGTCAAATTAGCATATGTAGTAATTACATTAGTTAGCAAAACAACAGATTTTTGTATGGCCATAGAGAAGTCACATGGTTGAGAGTTTATCTCTTTGTTTTATGTAATTCAAAGCCTGCAAATTCATTTTGTGTACTGTATTGGTAGAGGCCTATTTTAGGTATGCAGGACAGACAAAGAAGGATAAGTTTGTTCTTTAGACACTTTCAGAAGGAAAAGTAGTCATTAAAATAATTAAATTCTTTGAAGAACAGACATTGCTAAGTCTTTCCTAGAGAGACAAGACAACCCAGATTGTTAGTAGTTTGGAAGTTCTTCTGAGGCCTAGGCCTGGAAGCTGCCGAGTAACTAGGAACATATTACCCACAGCGAATTGTTATTTGGGAGGATGAATGTCACATGATCCTCAGCACAGTTGAAAAGTCGACTCAGCAGGCTTTGGCTTAGTAATGTGCTTTGTTGTGAATCAGTGCCAGAGACAGCAGTGGGGAGACCAAGGGGGTGGCCGCAAAGAAAGCAGAAAGAGCAGCCTGACAGAAAGAAGAATGAACTGTCAAAGACAATAAATCACAGGCAGTGCAGGACCAACTGATGACCTGCCACCGCCTTCCCAGTAGGACTGTGTGACGGCCCGAAGCTGTCATATGGAGTGAGCGACCAGTGGATGCCCTCTCGATGAAAAGCCAAACAGTCTCCTGCTTGCTCCCCCTGCTTCCGTATAGACGCCACTGCTCCTGGCATTCGGTCCAGCAGGATTTTGAGAATAAAGTTATGTTTACAGTAAGAACGAAATCCTTTATCTAGATAGTGAGCACAATAAGACCATCCCTGGCGTTTTCAGACTGAATGCTTTCTTTTCAGCCAGGTGAGCTGGGGACAGAAACTGCCTAGCCTTTAGCCAAAATAAGTGTTGTGCCTGAGACTCAATCACTGTTGAAATATTTATGCCTAAGTAATTGCATAGCAAGATTTGAAAGTTAGCTTTTGGGTCACTCCTTCTTGAAGAATGTCAAAAAGCTCCTTTTCTTTCATCAGCTGAGCAGTGTAAATGATGCCAAGGAAAAGACGTCCAATGAACTCGATTCTACCAAACAGAAGATCGAGTGTCACACTAAAAATATAAAGGTATTGCAACTTAAGTTACCTTTTCCCTTTGTTAAGAGACAGATAGCGTACGAAGGGATTATTTTAGAGATACCTAAAAATAAAGCTTCAATTTTTAAAGTATTTTTGAACGCACATTAACATTTTTTGTTGATCCTACTGTTTTGGTTAAAGGAACAGCTCATTTCTCTGATATAATTGTAGTGTTACAGACTGAAGTGCTTTGAGACTTACTCTCCTGCTTTAGCTAAGCAGTAGACACATTCTGCATAAGCGTGTCTGTCTGTCTGTAGAGTCAGTTTTGTCATTTGGGGGGGGGTGGCTGTTGTTTTCAGTCCATGACGTCTGGCCAGTGGCCTGAGACCACAGTTGGTCAAGGTTCAAGCAAATAGTTGATTTAGTTTCTGTGTTAGTTTTAGCTACAATGCTGCAAAATTTGAGTTTCTCAGTCTTCGTTGGGATTTCAAAGTGTTGGTGTTGAAGCGGAATTTGTAATGGAGACTGTAGAATTTTACATCTCCTTCTTGAGATTTCTATTAGTATTTGGACTGTCATTGGAGAGTAAATGTCCTTATATTAAATGTAAAGAGATTTATGGTTTTCCATGCTACTTAAGTGGTATTAAAGTTATTTTTTTAATTACCTTTTTAAAATAATGAGTTAAAAGGAAAACTGCTTTAAATAACTTTTTGGAATAAGCAGTTTTAATAAAATGTATGTGCTTGAACATTACAGATTTTCTAATTTTTGAATGAAAACATTCTACTTAGAAAACACATCCAGTAAAATACCCTAAGTGTTTAGCATCATAAGCAAGTGGCGATCGTTTTCCGCTGCCGGTTTGAAGGTTCTCATCACGTATTTGCCGTTTGTGTGCGCCGCCTCACCTCTCCATTCCTAGAGTCTCTTTACTTGGTGCTCCTGACAGGAACTTCAGGACAAACTGACCGAGGGCCATAAGGAGCTGAGTCATCTCCGCACCAAGTGTGCGGACCGCGAGGCCCTCATAAGCACGCTGAAGGTGGAGCTGCAGAACGTCCTGCATTGCTGGGAGAAGGAGAAAGCGCGGGCAGCGCAGTGCGAGAGCGAGCTGCAGAAGGTGTCCCAGGCCTTTCAGAAGGAGACTGAGGTATCACCCCCGGTGCCCGGGGACAGGAAGGCCTTCCATTGACCTCAGCTGTGTATCTTACATGCACCGATGACCGGTGTTCCTCATATTTGATTTAATTTAAAGAGTGTTCTGAGCGTCACACTTTGAAATGCTCCTCACAGCTGCAGACTCACCTCCTCTGTTCTGCCTCCTTGTCCTAATTTGTGAAAAAAAAGAAAAGAAAAGGTAACCCCATTCGACCCTTATGTCACTTGGGCCATCAACTTTCTTCCCTGCTTGAATCTGTCATATCTCACTCTGCCATGGTCCTTACTGTCTTGTCAAGGTTGGCCTATTTGCCAGTAAAAACATCATTTTTCATTAGAGTAATTCTACAGCGTGGCTTGATGGAAAGAATATTTTTTGTAACCAGATAGGTTTGGACTTGGATCCTGTTTTTTCTTTCTACACAGAGCCTGACTGTGGACAAGCCATGTAGGTGTGTCACCCCACATCTCAATCTCCTTAATTACAAAACAGGAATATCAACTCCAGGCAGTATCCTCCTTCTTTATAATTATGATATACTGATGAAAACCAAGAAAAAGAAAAGTTTCACAAAATGAAAACCGCAAGTTGGATGCTCTGATAGTTGTCTACCCATTTGTATTTATTAGTAACATATTAAACTTATTTTGAGATTTATTTGTTTTTATTTTATGCCTATGGATGCCTTGCCTGCATGTGTGTCTGTCTACCACATGGATGCCTGGTGCCCATAGAGGTCAGAACTAGAGTTACAGACAGTTGTGAGCCGACATGTGCATGCTGGGACTTGGACACCGGTCCTCTGCAAGAGCAGCCAGTGCTCTTAACTGCTGAATTGTCTCTCAAGTCCTATTAACGATTAATTCTTAAAATATCATGACAAAAATTTCATATTCTGTATGGGCCTGTTTTGTCTCTAGTTTTCTTTTACTTCTGGCGTTTAGAGCTCCTGTACTTGATGGATTCATTTATCTAAATTCCTGCGTATTGGATTCATTATTTCAACAAATACAAACTCCAATGCCAAGAGAGGAACATTCTTTCCAGTCTTGGAGTCTGGGATTTCAATTGTGTCCACATGAAGGGGTTGGAATTGTTCTACACAGCAGACAGAGAGGTTCAACTGAAGGGAACCAGGAGCCTGACTGCATTGTGAAGTCAGTGTCTAGAGTTCTGTGGCCCGGTTCAATGTGTGAACTGATTTTGGATCTAGTGATAATCTTTTCACACCAAATGGATGACTTCCATCCCTGGTTTGTCACGGCCTGAGCAAAAAGGACGTCATGGTGACACAGCTTCTTCCAGCAGAGCTGTAATCTCAGTAAAGATGTGGAGGATGATGGTTTTGTGCCTGAATTTACACTTGTATGGTGGTGGACTTAATCAGATTTTTGTACATATCACAACACTTGAAAGTGTAGAAGTCATTCTTAACTTCTTTTAAAGGAACAATGCACAGTACATTTGTATCAGCAGTTTTTACCTTTTCTTTTCTTTTCTTTCTTTCTTCCTTTGTCCCTCCCTCCCTTTCTCTCTCCCTCTCTCTCTTTCTTTTTTCTTTTCTTTCTTTTTTTTTTTTTTGAGACAGAGTCTTTCTCTATAGAACCCTGGCTGTCCTGGAATTCACTCTGTAGACTAGACTGGCCTCAGAGTCACAGAGATCCTCCTGCCTCTGCCTCCCAAGTACTGGGATAAAAGGCAATATACCACCACACCCAGCAGTTTTTTATTTCTTGATCCAATTTCTTTAGGTGTAACTATATTTACTTATTTGCTTAATTTTATTTTTAAATTACTGTATTTGAAAAAGTGAGATAGTATACAGGTGAATTACTGTCATTTACTTTGAAATGTTCAGGAAAACAGTTGCTACAATTTCCAATAACAAAACAAAGTCTTTAATATATTTAATATTTAAAAAATCTATATTATAATTTCCATTTTTTCTTCCAGTTTTTCTTCTTTCAAGTTATTTTCCTCCTCCTGATATATTAAGACATTTTGAGGGAACTGATTTTATCCACATAAAATGTTCATTTTGCAGCTTCACAATTACTTCATCTTTTGAGTTTCATGTTTTGAGATGAAATATCTATAAAGAGGGCAATTTGTCATCTTAGTAACTAAATCCTCCAAGTGTGCTCAAGATGAGTCAGTGTTACACTGGATTCTAGAGCAGAGTAAATATCTTTAGGCCATTCAGCAGGGGATAGTTAATGATTGTAATGACAATATGCTTTTAAAGGGCTTTTCAAACGTATTTCTAATTGGACAGTTTTGAAAATGTGTCTTGGGCAGCCTGTCCACTTTAAATTGTTCTGCTACTTTGTAATACTTAAACACCCACAGATGCCCAGTGTGCCGAATACAATATAAACCTCTAAGTGGGGAAAACAAATGAGCCCTGCTTCCTTGTCCTTCATATCACTGTGTGCTTCGCCTAAGGGCGTCGGGATAGATTTCCTATAAGTGGTGAGTAGAGTCGAATCTCGGGGGAGGAGGAACGCTGTGTGATTGTGGACATGTAAAGTACAGACACTGATACAGCGTGCCTTTCATTAGAGTAGAAGAACACTCTTATCTTGATGCCATTTTATGACTTAACATCTGTTTTTTAAAATACAAGTAGGAAATTATAGATTTACTATTTTGACTCTAAATGAAAGGTTCTTACAGAAAATTAACCCAACTACCTTGTGTTATAGATTTTAAAACTTAACCTAAACAGGTGCTCACATCTCAGCAGTAGCAAGCAGAATCACAGACCCTGTCTTCTGGATCTAATTACAGTTGTGTTTTGAGTACCAGTCTAAGGAGTCTAAGCAATTTAAAGTGGACATTAGTATTTTATCTAATGCTTGGTTCTGAATGTGAGAAAAAACGCCATCGAAATGATAAAAGCTGAAACTTGAGTATTTTCCTTCTAGAGTAAAAAAAAAAAAATGCTTTCCTACTTGTACTGTGTATTTTACTTCCTACGGTGTTTACATTCTGGAGTTAACGAGTCCTTTTTTCTTGCAGGAGAAGCTAACCTTCCTTCACACCTTGTATCAGCACTTGGTAGCAGGCTGTGTGCTCATAAAACAACCAGAAGGCATGCTGGATAAATTCTCTTGGTCTGAGCTTTGTGCAGTCTTGCAGGAGAATGTTGATGCCCTCATCGCAGACCTCAACAGGGCTAATGAGAAGGTAACTGTCCTCAGGCACCAGATACCTCTATTAAATTCAGTGACATTTGTCCACATCACAGTATCATTAAGAGAGGCTGACATTCATCTTATTTCAAAAAGAATTTGGATGTTAATAATTCAGTACCATTAATTATGGCTTGTCTACAACTCAGTTTGATGCCATTGCTGTGGGCATGTAAATGTGACTGAAGTCTGTATGAAGTCTCTAAGCTCCACTTTCTGTGCAGGACATGCTAATACTACTAGCCAGTATTAGCCACAGGGACCTAATTAAGAGAAAATAAATTAATCTTACTGATGAAGCAATTCAAAGAACTTAGTCATTTACATTAATAAACCAACTCTTTATGTTAGCATAAAATAGAAATAGGATGTAGTTATTCAAAAACATAAACTTAAAAGTCTTTGCTTAGGAAATATAAAGTATTGTTTTAAAAGTACTTAGAAAAATTTAAATGACATCTTGACTTGTTTCTTCAAATGTCACAAACTGCGAGAAAACACAACCCATATTTTAGATTGGGAAATGTGTATTTTATAATTAAAATAGTATACTTTACAGTCACTTCACTATTCTATTAAACCTAGGAATTCAGTCTTTTCCAAACAGAAAAAAGCCCTGCTCTTGCTATAGAAAGTTAAGAGGTGAGTAGGTCATGTATGCTGCCATTTAAGACACCATTACTTACCCTGGGCCTGGTGACTTCTCAGGACTGTGTTTGTGACAATAAAAACTGTAAACTGTGGTGTAATGTCTAGATCGCAGTTACAGTGACATTAAAGGATCAGAAGAGAAAAACAGTTCTGTGAGTTTAAAAAGATATATGTTGTATTAACGAAATGGCCCAACTTCAGGGTGAGCTCTTGTATTATTGAGCATTTTATCTTTAGTGTACTAACGGTACAACCAAAGACATTGTGAAGTAGGGCTAGAATAAACTGTGGGAATAAACTGAGAAGCAGATGCTGTCTGTGACTGTGAGTTAGTACCTGGGTTAAAACAGACTGATAATTAAATATGTGCATTACCTCTCTGAGATGATGTTTTTAATATCTGTTCGTAGCTTCAGAATATTAATCAACATGCATGTTAGAAGATACGGGTTTTCTTTTTAGTGTTTGTTAAAATGAAAACTGGGTGTAATTTTTCTGTGTTATTATATGTTTAGTGTTTGCTCATTTGTAAATCTCATTTAAGTATTTCCTTTCTCACTGAGACACCTCAAATAGCCTGAGCTTCGGTTCTAGAAATAAGAATAATTTCCCAAATTATCTCTGTAAAATTGATGATAGAAAAAGCTACTTTATTAGAAAGAGGAAAAATAAAAATTCATTGTTTAAGTATGAAAATGATACCTTTTTTTGATAAACTGTCTAACTTACCCCCCTCCCCATAATTTATGGTTCTTACTTTATTTACATTTTTAACTTAAAATATTTATATGATCTTAGGGATAAAATGTAGTAGAGAATATAGGTTTTATTGAGCTCCAGACGTGATGTCATGTCTCAGTCTGGATTTCATTTCCATTTATAGATAAGTCACCTGGAGTATATCTGTAAAAACAAATCCGATACAATGAGAGAGCTTCAGCAGGCCCAGGAAGACACCTTCAGCAAAGTGGCGGGACAGATCAAGGCCCAAGAGAGCTGTTGGCACAAGCAAAAGAAGGAGCTGGAATTCCAGTATTCTGAGCTTCTCCTGGAGGTGCAGAGGAGGGCACAGGTACGCTGCTCTGCAGAGAACTGGCCATAGCTGGGAGGAGCCAGGCGAATCTGAGTGAAACACTCTAACATTTGCAAAGGATTAATAAAAGTATCTTGAAAAATAGCTGCTTTGTTTAACCATTTCTATTTTTCCCCCCTCTTTTTGGGCAGAGTCTCATTATGTAGCCCTGGCTAGCCTGCAGAGATCCACTTACCTCTGCCTCCATAGTGCTGGGATTAAAGGTTCAATTTTTATTTTGTATCAACTCTAAATCAGTTTAAACCTTTTTGAAGACCTCATAGAACTTGTTTATATTATGATCATGCAAATACACAGTAATCATTGTGCTACTTCTTATAGGCAGGGATGATAGCTAACAATATATAAATGGCAATAATTTATATAGAGAAAATATGTTTAACTACCTAAATCTTCTGTTACCAATCAAACCTAGCATAGAAGATAAAATACATCTCATGATCATTTTACAGTAGGACCTGCAATTATAATTCTAGTTTCATGTAACGTTAGAAGGTATGTTACCTATTTCATTGATGTGACAAAATACCTGTGTCTATTTCTGTGTGTGTCTGTTTTAAGGATTGTCTTTTACTTGAGTTTGAAGATAATTTTGTTGTTGTTGTTAAAACCCTAATCTTTTTGGTTAAATGATAAAATCTTATATTTATTTTTAAAATAAAGCATTAGGAGATCTGGTAAAATATTGACAGTGTAAATATCCTTTTGTGCAGCTTATTCCATTTTGGGGGCTTCAGTTGAACTATCACTTAAGCACGTTTGTGGTTAAAATGTGTTATACTGACTTAGGGGTTGAATATGACATTTTTTCCATGAGCTCATGAGTTGGGAGTTTACTTGCTAGTTGACAGGCTTTGGGGGAGGTGATGGAGCCACTTGCATCCCAACCTTACAGATTAAATCTGTGTTGGATATGATGGCATTACTGGGAGGTGGCAAAAAGTAGGAGGTGGAGCCTGGCTGTAGGAAGTAGCTTACTCCAGGGGTGTCAATAGAAAGATGTGTCCTGGCCCCACACCTCCTCCCTTCTTGCTTCCTATCCACCATGAGGCGAACTGCTTAGCTTTCCCATCTTCCTGCTGTACGTCATTGTGTTCATTAGTGACAGAGCCAAAGGACCACAGGCCAGAGTACATCGTTCCTGCTTTATACTTCCTCAGAGATTTTTGTCATAATGGTGACATTCTCATATATCAACTAATATGAGAGGTAGAGTTATAGTTGTAAAATAATTCTGAGGTGTAAACTTTATTAAGAATAGAAATTATAGGCGCTATGTGAACTTAGGCATTTCTATGTGGATTTGAATTAATCAGTAAACATATTTTCTGAAAATAGCCATTTGTTCATTGTATTCAAGTATTAATATGATGTACTTTATATTTTCAAACTGAAGTAAAAGATCCAGTGTAACATGCATTCCTAAATGTAATATAATATAATAAAATATAATAAAAAACCCAGTACCAGATATTGGGGTAAATGCTGAGAGATCAGAGAAACAAAGGAACAAAGCACCTCTTACCTCTAGGACTCTTCAGCCTGAAAAGCTTTCCTCAGCTGAAAGTCTGTCTCCTCACGCCTTATATACCTTTCTCTTCCCACCTATATCATTTCCTGTCTCAACTTTCCTAGTGCTGGGATTAAAGGCATGTGACTCCCAAGTATTGGGGTTAAAGGTGTGTGCCACCACTGCCTGGCTCTGTTTCTCTCCTAGACTGAGTCAATCTCATGTAGTCCAGGATGGCTTTGAACTCACAGAGATCCAGACTGATTTCTGTGTTTAATTTAGTGGCGTGTTCTGTCCTCTGATCTTTAGACAAATTTATTAGGGTACACAATATATCATCACATTTCCCCCTTTTTGTCTAAAATAATAAAAGAAGGTTATAACTAATATAAGAAAAAGTATATAAAATAAATACAATAAATATATACAATATATACAGTCAAGAATTAAATTAACAATGTCCAGTCCATAAACATTTGACAAATTCAGAGAAAATGTTCTATTATTTATTCTATTTTGGTGAGTCCAAAATGTTGTACCTAATTCACTTTCTATCCTAACTTGTATTACCAACTAAATACTATCTTTTGATGTCTTTCAGATTTATACACTTTACACCTCTTTTGTGAGTTTCTTTTCTGAATTTGTTAACAAGGAAAACTATAACTATAACTATCTAGTCTTTAACTCCCTCAGAGACCCAAGAAGGAAATAATATTAACTAAGTAAGCAGGAAGTACAGGCAAGTGACTTCCAGAAATGTGAGAAATGACAGGAACAGCTGGCTGCCTGGATAGTCACTCAAGGTTCCTCTGCAACGTTAGAGCATCCATCTTCAGCCTACAGGCCTAGCATATCTGACAGACTCATCTGTAGAGCAGGATTTTCTGCAGGGCTGTCCTACTTTTTCTTGGTAAGGTTCAGCAGTCCTTTCTTTTGTGTCCTGCTTGCCCATTTGGACAGCATACTGTCAGTAGTCGAGGCAAGGATACTTTCTTGCCCAGTGGCTACTTTTGCCACAAAGAAAGTAAACTCCATAAGGAGTTTCTTTGATGCCCATCATCTCTGAAGTAGATTGGTACTGCCAGGAGCAGACATGTTTCATTGTCATTAAAAAAAAAAGAACTGTATGTTATTAAAATATCTTTAATGCTGTATTTCATAGATCTCTGAAGTGTTTGAAGATAGACCACTTGTCTATCTCTCTGGATCTCTGCCTCCCAAGTGCTAGGATTAAAGGTGTGTGCCACAACTGCCTGGCTTCTATGTTTAATCTAGTGGCTTGTTCTGTTCTCTGATCTTCAGGCAAATTTATTAGGGTACACAATCTATCACCACAATCTAGTTCAGTGGAAGGAGCTCACAAGTGTACAGTTTTGATTTTTTTCGCCCTGGAGACAGAATGTCTTTATGTGTTACAGATTCACAATCTTCCTGCATCAGCCTTTCTAGTGTTGGTATTGTAAGGGTGTGCCTCCAAGCATGGCTAATTTGGTGTTTTGGCTAATGTCAGCGCTCATAATCTTACGCTGTGAAGGCTTCATACATTTCTGTTGTCAGAAAGTTGTGTGCCCTCTGCAGTCACTTTTCACTTCACGGGCAGCTGTCGTTCTCCTGTTCCTCATTACTGATCAATTGCACAAGGTTTGGATTTTGTACAAATGGAGTCATTCAGTATTTATTCATTGGAAGTTGGCTTATTTCACTTGATGTTGATGTCGAACATAATATTACTTACGTTGTTATGTATTAGTAGTTTATTACTTTTTATGGTTTAATAGTATTCCATTTCATAGTCACATCACAATTTGATTGAAAATGGGTGGGCGGATATGTGGTTTATTTCCAGTTTGGGACTATTATGAATGGACTTTATGCAAAAACTGTTGGACAAGTGTTTTGTCAACATGGCTTCACTTTTCTTGGCTGCCTCCAAAAAGTGCAGTTGTCAGTTTGTTCTTAGTTATGTGTTGTAAGAAACTGTATGAAGGACTCTTCTGAAATGGTAATACCACTTTATGTTCTCACAGATATCAAACTTTTTTTCTGTTTTGGTGTTTTATTTTTATTATAATAATCTTTCATTACCCCAAAGCAATGAAGATAATAAACCCTTATTATTATTTTCTAAATGTTTTGTGGTTTTAGTTTTTATGTCTGTATGGTCAGTCATAATTAAAACCTGTGTGATGCCCAGTAGGGGCCCAGGTTCATTTTCTTCCTGTGTTTGTTGTTCCCATGTAATTTGCTTCACTATTTCCTTGCTTCACTGTGTAGCCTTGGGAGTTGGTCATGCTTAGGACACACGGGAGGCACAGACGTGGTGGCCGTCTGTGTAGTCATGCCCTTGCCGTAGTGCCATGCAGCAGTGAAGCGTGCCGCCATCCAGGCCACACCTTTCACCTAGAAAGACACATCTCTGTCCTCCGTCTTTTATGCACATCAGCAGTTAATTGCTTTTCATTCTGGGGTACTGTTCCATTTTGTGACTAGATCATTGTTTTCTTATCTCTGGACACTTGCTAATGGGCCTTTGGGTTCCTTATTTTGTAGCAGTTGTGGTTAAATATTTATGGAAATGTTTTTATGTGATCATAAGGTTTCATTTCTCTTGTATAAATACCTTGGAGTCTGATGTCTGGGTTATATGCTAAGTGTATATTTAAGAAAACATTAAATTGTTTTCCAAAGCAACTTTATAATCTCTTTTAAAATTCTTCTTAGCAGAGTTGTATTTGATCTGCCTCTGTACATGGCCTTTCATTCTTGTTTTCTTTCAAACTTTAGTCATCCTAATTGGTATGTAGTTCTATGACATTTAGTTATAAATTAAAATTAAATCAAGTTTAGTGTTCCCTAGTGAGTAATAAAGTTGAGTACGTATTTAAATGCTCATTTGTCATTTGTATATTTTCTTTGGTGAATTATCTGCTCATATTTTTTTGTTATTGTTTGTTCATGTGATACAGGTCTTGCTGTGTAGCTGTGGCTGGCTTTGAACTCATGGCAGTTTTCTTATCTCAGGATTGCAGGCATGTGCTACCACACCAGGCTGATAGAGCAGTGAAATTGCTCAAGTAGGAACAAACAATTCCACCTGCTTTCCTCTCCTCCCTTTCACCTCTTCTCCCCTTTCTCTCCCCTCTCCTCTCTCCCTTCTCTCTTCTCTCCTCCTCTTCCTAACCCTTCGCATCCCCTCCCCTTTTTCCTTCTCTTCCCCCTTCCCTCTTTGGCTCTGTGTGTCTGTCTATCTCTGTCTCTGTCTCTCTCCTCCCGTGTGTGTGTGTGTGTGTGTGTGTGTGTGTGTGTGTGTGTGTGTGTGTTGTGTTTTACTGAATCCAGGAACTTGTACATGGTAGGAAGCACTTTTACTACTAAGCTGTATCCCCAGCCTTGTTCACATTTCCAGCCCTGTTCACATTTCCAGCCCTGTTCACATCCCAGCCCTGTGCACATCTTTTGTCTAGTA